TGGATCAGGGTTGCCAGACTTGCCAGCCGTCCGGGATTTCCGGGGAAATCCCAGATTTAAGTGAATTGTCCCGGATCCAGTGTGTCAATTAAATTAGAAAATCAAATAAATGGTACAATGTTCACAAAGAAAAAAATACACCCATGCTGAATATTATAAGAAGATTATTATTAAAGATAGGGAGGGGGTGGTGATGTGTCTTGTTTTTAAAGCGTCACCGTTTTATTTGCTCTCCAGGAATTTAGTTATTACAGTGTGACAATCCTAGTTTAGATAGATAGCGGACCGATATTGATGTTTCTTTAAGCAATGCATCTCTTAAGGTGCGTCCAGATCTGACGAGACGAGATGAGAGCGAGGCAAGGGCGAGACAAGAGCAAGACGAGAGCGAGACGAGAGCGAGACATCTTCTATCCATTTTTTGAGGCAAGCCTGCCACGAGACAAGCGAGTTGGATCATAGTAAAAAGAACCCAAACACATATTAAATTGTATTTGAATATAACAAACGATGGTGAAATAATAACGCATACAGTAATACATTTTTGTATCTCTAACATGGTATTTGGTTCGTCTTATTTTATTCATCGTCGTTTTTTTTTCACTTTTGGTTGTTTTCCCCTTCAACCTTTCAATTGTTTCTAGACAAAACTTTTTTGTCTTTTACAAAATACTTTTTATAATGTTTTTTTAGAATAAAATGTTAAATAGCAAAGTTATAGGAAAGGTTAAGAAGCACATTTTAAAATTACTGTAGAGTATACAGGGTACTTCAAAAAAGCGTTGCGGATATAAAATATATTTTTAATGAAAATACTCTATTTTTATTTTATAATTAGATTCCACGTACAATTCGGTGACTTTTTTTTATGGTATTATACAGGGTTGTTCACCACATACGACACGGAGTATTGTAGTTAAACGATTAGATTTATACAAATTGTAAGTTTTGGGTTCGTTGAAGGACTGTTAGAGCTACAATTTAAAAATATTTTAATAAGGAACGGAGTGTCCCAAATAAATAAAAAATATCAAAGTTGTATTTTGTTAAACGGAACACCCTGTATATTGTTACATTTTTAGTTTCTACGATTAAAATAAAGATAAATTTGATTAAGGTTTATCACACTTAAACCTTACCGTTCTTGAAATATTTTCAATTTTGTGAAATTGCAGTAAAAATTTTAAGGCTTTATTTCTCAAAGGGTATCAAAGTTTTTAATACTAAATATTTACTGAAGTTTATTTATTAATCAGTTATTGTGTTGCAATAATAAAAATAATATTACCTCATACAGAGTGTCTAAAAATTTATTTTAAATAATTTCTAGCTTAAAACGGCAATAACTTCTTTAATTTAAATGAAACACCCTATATATTTTAGGAGAATCGGATGCACAATGTAATTGTCTATCAAATTGTATTATACCATTTTTTACCCGTCCCTTCAAGTTTTCGTAGAAAATGCATTTTCTTATAATTTAGACCTCATTTATCAACATACCCATGGAATATTGACATTTTAGATTGTTTTTAAAGCAACAAACGTACAAAATGTACAGGTGCTAGAACCGATAATATTACTTGCCTATTTCTACACAAAAAGAAAACTATTTAAATCTTTATAAAAGAGTATACCATTAATTAATTATACTACCATTATTCTGCCCAAATATTAATTAATTACATACTTAGTTGTGTTAGTTAATAGATTATTCTAAATAAATGTGGATTTGAATCAGAAATCAATATAATAATAAGTTATGAAAATAAACGTCTCTGTTGTTATAAATAAGCATTCGTCAAAAAATTAAATAAAAATTTTAAGGAATTACTTTTTACCACACTGTGTAATACACATACAAAATTCAGTTTTTTAGTATTTGGAGCAATTATTATTAATCAACGCAAACAGTTAGGTTAGGTTTGGTTGTAAATTAATGTAGGTTGATTTGACTATAGAGAGAGTTGAGATGACCGTAGATTTCGATACGGTAAAAATATCAGTGACCCAAAATTTGTAAATTCTATCAGACAAAATGATAATACATAGGGTGTACTATTTAAAAAAATTGAGATTATTTAGTTTAAGTTGAAATTTCTAAATCAGAGCTAATATCTCGCAGTCGAGCGAGCCTACCAAAAACACGTCCAGACTGTGCCGCGAGCTTTCTTTGATCGGCCGTCGCAAAACCGACAGGACCGATAGCAACGAGGCTCCATGGCGAATTTGGAATGTCTCGCGCTCGTCTTGCTCTCGTCTCGTCAGGTCTGGACGCACCTTTATACAGAGAAAACAAAATATAACAAAGGGTTTAACAAAGTAAGGAATTTAAAAAGCACTTTATTATTAAAGTGCATCTTCTTTCGATAGTTTATTTTTTGATTAATCCCGACAGCTTTATTTTTATTGGAGATATTTTTGTAAGTCAGTGATGATTATTTTTGGATATTACTCTAAATATCTTATCACTTACTTAATTATATTCTATATAACTTCACACAACTTTTTTAACGGTTAGCTTGTTTTTAGCAATCGTGGAATAAAAATAAAACAAAAAACACAAGGTTAAAAAGTCAGGAGATAGGAGTTATTTTTAGTACAAAACTCTTTTTTAATATCGAGTCGTTCTTATATCCACCCACAACTGCATAAGAGAAAAAATATAATTCAGATTTAACTTAGAAAAAATTATACAATTATTACAGTTTGACTGGTAATAATGATTTGAACATTAATGCTGGTAAAACATACAGGGTGTTCCATGTAAGTTAAACAAATTATTGCCGTTTAAAGGTAGTAATTATTTAGAATGATTTTATAGACATCTTGTATTAGGTAGCAACATTTTATGGGTAGTATTGTTATTTAACAAAGTATTGTTTATATTTGCTAAATATGTAATCTGTTGTTATGTTTAAACATAATGTTGTAATCAAAGCTTTCAATTCAAGAAGATAATAATTATGTTCTGATCAAACTTGGTTTTCTTTTACATATTCTTTCATTTAAAAACCAACAACAAAATGAATTAAATCAAATATTATCTTAAATGACATTAGTCACAATGTTGAACATTCACGTACACTCACCGGCACGAAAAACGGGCACCTTCAAATTTTGATGTATTTTAAAGTTTTATATATTGTGTTATAGTGGGCCGATTTTGATGATCTTTTAATAAATTTGTAGCTAAATTATTTGAATTTTTAATATCTCTTCCTAAATTAAAAATGAAAGTCTGTCTATTATACGAGGGAACACAAAATGTTGTTATTTTGGTGTAAGTTTGAAACCCCCTGTGGAATATGTTAATAAAGCATGGAATTTGAAAATTAGTTTATCATCAAGGTGCATTTTTTCTCGATAGTGTATTTTTTGGCTCATCTCAATAGCTTTATTTTTTTGAAGATATTTATTTTTGAAGATGACACTAACACTTTTTTATTAATTTTATATTAAAACCATGCCTTTGCTTTTGGTCCCGGTCAACAGATCTGTGAAATAGTGTTTATGATCTATGTAATGTCACTGTTATTGAAAAATGACATTATTGTCTGTTGACTGTTGGGCAGTTACTCTAACAGAGATGGCTTCTTAAGTCCAGAAGTTGTTTCCGCTATAGTTGCTTTTATTGAAGATGGTATAGAGATCAAGATTATGTCGCTATCAGATTTAGGTGTGCACGAAGTACAGGGCAGTCCCTTCCTTGAGATAAATTCATATGCTAGACGTCCAGAAACTTCGAGACGATCGATTTTTTGGAAGTTTATTGCTAAGAAACCGCCGTTTTCCAGCTTTTCAAATTTATAATGAATTGCACCTAAGGAAGGTACATATGTAAGTGAACGGAACTGTAAGAAGAAGATTAAACGATGCAAATCTTATATCAAGAAGGCCTGCTTCGGGACCACAACTTACTAGGTCTGTTGACTAGGACTAGGACCAAAAGTAAATGCATGGTAAAACCATAAAAATATAAAAATTACGAAAAACTATTAGTGACTGCTTCAAAAGCGAATATTTCTAACAAAAATAAAACTATGGAGATGAATCAATAAACAAAGTATCGAGAAAGGATGTACCTAGACGATGAAATGATATCTATATTCCTTGCTGTCTTAACATATTCTACAGAGTGTTTCAAACTTTCAGTAAAATATCAACATTTTGTTTTCCCTCGTATAATTGACAGATGCGAACTTTCATTTTTAATTTAGAAAGAGATATTAAAAAGTTAAATAATTTAGCTACATATTGCTCAAAAAATCATCAAAATCATTATCAAAAAATTAAACTTTAAAATACATGAAAATTTTAAGGTGCCTGTTTTTCGTTTTTACGTACTACCAGGCGTTATGAAGTACTCCTGTCAGTTCGAGAAGATAATTATACCGTGATTAAAATTGTTTTGTTTAATATTTTCTGTCACTTCAAAAATGAAACATTTAATAAAAATTGTTTATTCAATTTACAATAAAGAACACAACACTGACATTTCGATTTTTATATACCACCAGTCGTTATGAAGAAGAAACTGTCACTTTAAAAAGATAAGTATGTTAACAGTTTTATTTTAAATTTTTCCCATTTCAAAAATGAAACATTTAATAAGGATTCTTTATATTATTAGTTCATTATAACAGGCTGAATAAAGATCAACAACAAAATGAATGAAATTAAATATTATCTTGAATAAGAGATTGTGTTGATGTTGAAAATTTACATATATGACGTTTCAATTTTTATATACCAGTCGTTGAAGAAAAAACTGCCAGTTCAAGAAAATGATCAAAATTGTTTGGTTTAATATTTTCTTTTATTTCAGAAATAAAATATATAATAAAAATTCATTATATTATTAATTCATTATAACAGAATATATTTTTGAAATATTCGTGTTAAGATTCGAGCTTTAAACAAAAACCAGCTCATTATCACTCTAACCGATTTGGTGTCTATATTTTTCGTTGAATTATTAATAACTAAACTAGACCTACCTTTTGAAAGTAAAAATCCTTCACTATCACCACTAATTCATTCACGATTTCAGTATCGGCGTCTATGAATTTTGCTAAGCGCAACCGTAGCTTTACGTTTGTTTGGCGCGCTTGGTTCTGGCCTCACTGAACGCGATCTGCGCGCTACTCGGCGGTACTTGGAGATCGAACTCGTACTCGTCGTACTTTTAGTAGATTGACCGGCTAATCCCCCACCCTCCGCTGAGCTTTGACGTCTAATTCCGGAGCTTTTTCCCACATATGCGGATGAGTATTAATAAATTTGCGAATCGCATTCTTGTTATTCCGGCGGTTACAGTAGTTTTGAACGTTTTAGACGCTTAAGGAGAAAAGACACACCAAGTGGGGCTTTCCTATACATTTCTATCTCATGGCAATATCGACTGTCTTATGTATACAGGGTGTTTTTCGAAAGTGGCCCACCATTATAACTTTTTTATTTTTTCAGATAATGAAACGAAATTTGGTATGCTAGTGTATGACATAAATCGGGATCGATTGGCGTATTCAATTACTTTCGGTCACTTCCTGTTCAACCGAAAATATTCTACTATTTTTGATTTTTAAATAGTACCTCCGGTATTGTTGAAGTGGAGCTTCTTTACGCGTGCTGGAGTAAAAATTCAAAGCCGCGACACACGAGCTAGAGCTCACGATCAATGGCGAAAAAATCATCCGATTTAAATGAAATTTGGTAGGTCGATAGATTGGATCAAGGCCAACTTGATCGGGTACGACAGTTATCACAGTGACAGTGGGTAGGCTATATGAGCGACGGTGCACACTGTCTCACCCTGCAAAGTTGGATACGAAGTTTCATTTACATCTTCATCAGGGTGGGACTAAAGATTTGATATTGAAGAAAAATGTGGGTTGATTTCGGCATAATTGGGGACGGGCTCAAGGATGACGCCCTTGACGTTTCGATGCCTCTAAATGGACGAAATCATCAGGATTTTTCTTAATGATGGGTCGATTGGAACTCGGCACGTGGATAGAGCGAATGGACTCCTCACACGGACAGGTAGACAGATGGACATTTTAATAAAAATTTTGTGAAAGTGAATCAAATTATCTATTAATTTTTAATTTATTGCTTTTTCAACATTTCAAATATGTCCTTCAACTCTTCCAATTTAATAGCTGTTAGTAAGAAGTTTCACTTCAAATATGTGCATATAGTGCACACACATTTTTTTTATTTTGTATGATAGAAAAATACATTCTGAATAGTCTACAGTGACTACCATGGTTGAGTTAAAACCATTAATTTTTAATCAAGGAGCTATGGAAAAATACATTTGAACCTGATTATTAAAAAGATGCCAAAATCGTATTTTTAATCATAACTCAAATCTCATTTTTCAAATGGAACTAGAGTGGTTGATTAGCATATTAGGAAAAAGCATTTTTTACGAATAATTAGGTAAAATACGTAAAATGTCGTTATATTTATGGCAATGGCACTCTACATTGAAATTTTATTTTTTTTAATTAAAAATGTCAAAAGTTGACATATGGTAGATATGTCATTCTTTCAGAATATCATTTTCTATCATACAAGGTAAAAACATACCAGTACCATTTAAAAATCAAAAGTTGTAGTAATTCGAGTGAAACAGGCTGTGAACGAAACCAATTAAATACATCGATCAACCTTCATTTACAGGGTGTCTCAAAACAAATGCGAAACACATCAGGGGGTGATTCCTTGTTCAAAATAAAGGGTAGTTTGCTTCATATACGTTGGGTCAAAAGTCAACCATTAGGGAGATATCGCGGTACCAAGATGGCGGAAAAATAATGTTTTAATTTTTTATCTTGAAAACGAAAAGAGATAGACCAATGAAATTTTATGGAAGCATTACTGTTATGAAAACACACTTTCTGGTAATTTTCTCTCTTTTTTAAAATGAGTGGAAGGGGTTGAAATAAACTACCCCTATTATACTTGTTAACGAAATTTAAAGAAAAATCTTATGAAGCACATGCAAAAAAATTAATTTGGATAGCTTAGTTTGTTTAGAAACTTTTTTATCTCTTGTGTTTTTTTGATAAAACTCACCGATTTGAAATTAAAAAATAAAATGTAAAGCATTACCCCATGTCAGGACAAAAACATTTTTATTTTTTAATATGTACTTTTTTTATTATTTTGTACTTTCATGAATTAAAAAACAGAATTAAAAATTGTTTGGTAAATAATTTTTAAGAGGTTATCGTTCAGAAGAAAATGTAACGATATTATTACGAAATAAAACTGTTTGACAGCAGCCTACTAGATTCTTTATCCAAAAATGTTTTTTGTCATGACATGATTGTAATGCTTTACATTTTATTTTTTAATTTCAAATCAGTGAGTTTTACCAAAAAAACACAAGAGATAAAAAAGTGTCTAAACAAACTAAACTATCCAAATTTTTTTTTGCATGTATTTGATAAGATTTTTCTTTAAATTTCGTTAACAAGAATGATAAGGGTAGTTTATATAATATAACAGCTGGTTGAAAACCCCTTTCACTTATTTTAAAAAAGTGAAAAAATTACCAGAAAGTGTGTTTTCATAACAGTAATGCTTCCAAAAAATTTCATTAGTTTATCTCTCTTCGTTTTCAAGATAAAAAATAAAAACATTATTTTTCCGCCATCTTTGTACCGCGATATCTCCCTAATGGTTGACTTTTGACCCAACGTTTATGAAGCAAACTACCCTTTATTTCGAACAAGGAATCAGACCCTGAAGTTTTTCACATTTGTTTTAAAACACCCTGTATATCATATACTAACATACCAAATCTTGTTTTATCTAAAAAAATAAAAAAATTATAGGGGTAAGCCACTTTTGAAAAACATCCGGTATGTTGGCTATCGCACTGACATAGAATATCTTCTTCTGAACTTTTTTATTTTATTATTTATTTACATATTACTTTATTTCTTTTTCTGACATGCTCTTTCCAAGTATGCTAAAGTTGCTAAGGTATACCGGGTGCGTCTCAAAAGTGGCTCAGCGCTATAACTTTTTATTTTTTCAGATAAAAAAAAACGAAATTTGGTATGTTAGTATATGACATAAAATAGGATTAATTGACGTATTCAATTGTTTTCTGTCACTTCCTGTTTCGGGCAACGGCCCAGCTACGTCGAAACACCGGTTCCCATTAGAACACCGAAGTTAAGCGACGTAAGGCGATACTAGAGGATGGACGGGTGACCGGTTCGAAACTCTGTATTGTGCTGTTGTCCAATAAAGGCAAAAGTGTAAAATATATTGACACACACTGCTCATTCGCGCCGGTTCGAGGCCGTATGAGATATTTCGTGAAAAGAGTCGATTTAGACACTGGCCAAGTCGGTAGGCCATTGACCATGATATGGCCGAGAACCGCGGTTCGGATTCCGCGTAAACAAAGTAGGCCCCGTCCAGATTAGCCCTGGCAGATTAACCCTGGCAGCAAAAAGGAGACGTTAACTTCAAATCTTTACTTTACTTTACTTCCTGTTTCGCCGGAAATGACTACAACTTTTGATTTTTAAATGGCACCCTCGGTATTTTTTTACTTCATTCGATAGAAAATTACATTCTGAATAGAATGACATAATATCATTTGTCATTGTCAACTTTTGACACTTTTGCTTAAAACAAAATTGAATTTTAAATTTCAATTTAGAGTGCCATGGCTGTGTTAAAAACACTAATTTTGAATCAAGGAGCCTTGGAAAAATAAATTTGATCATCTAATGTTATTCGTGTCTTGTCCTGGCTGGTTAAAAGATGCCCTAATCGAATTTTTAATCATATCTCATTTTTTCAAATGGAACGAGGGTGGCTCATTAGCATATTTGGAAAAGGCATTTTTTACCAATAATTTGGTACGACACACTTGGTATTTCGAGTCAAATTGTCGTTGTGAATCGCATGTTGCAATTTCTAATAATCCATATTCAAAAATGTCAAATTTGACATATGATATGTCATTCTATTCAGAGTATCATTTTCTATCGAATAAAGCAACAAAAAACCGAGGTTTTCATTTAAAAATCAAAAGTTGTGGTCATTTCCGGCGAAACAGGAAGTGACAGAAAACAATTGAATACGTCAATCAATCCTAATTTATGTCATATTATATTAACATACCAAATCTCAATTTTTTATCTGAAAAAATAAAAAAGTTATAGGGGTGAGCCACTTTATAGACGCACCCGGTATAATGAGCCACCCTCGTCCAGTGGTGGATCCACGGGGTGTCTTGGATTCAGCCAAGTAATACGATGTTATTAATTTCTTTAGTCACAAACGACTCTGGAGTATGTACTTTGAGTAAAATTTTGTGTCTAGCCCCCCCCCCCCTTTACGAATCCTGGATCCACCACTGAATCCTGATCATTGTCCTATTTGAAAAAAAAATGAGTTTTGATTAAAAATACTATTGGGGTATCTTTTAACTAGTCAGTAAATGCCACGAAAAACATTCATTTATCAAATGTATTTTTCCAAGGCTCCTTTAATAATAATTGGTGGTTTTAACATACTCATGGTACTCTATTTGGGGTAAAGTTGAGTATGATATGTAATTCTAGAGGTGCGTTCACACCGGCTGCGCCGCTCCGCGCCGCGTCGCGCAAATCATTTTTTTAACATATACTTTTGTGCGACAAAACAAAAAAATACACTTCAAAAGTACAAATAAAAAAACGTTTTGCGCCGGCGCGGCGCGGATCGGCGCAGCCGGTCTGGACGCACCTTGATAAGAATGTAATTTTCTATCAAATAAAGTAAAAACATCAAGTGTACCATTTAAAAATAAAAAGTAGTGCACTCACTTCCCGTGAAACAGGAAATGACCAAAACTAATTGTATACGTCAATCAATCCTGATGTATTGGTCATAATACTGACATACCAAATCTCTTTTTTTTTATTGGATAAAATAAAGTTATAGGTCTGAGGCACTTTTGAAGTACACCGGGTATATGTAGTGGCTTTTAAACATTTTCCTTGACAAATTTGATTGTTACGAGCAGAGCGCGGATTTATAAACATTAAAAAACCTAACATAAGCAATTAAAAAAGCACATAAATATGCATGTAAATTTAAAAAAGCATGAAAAAAATGAATAATTTTTATTTAATTTAATATTTTTTAATAAACGAGCATTAAAAATAATTATGCAGAACAACATAAACTATACACTTATATGAACAAACTAAACTATAATGAGTTATATGTTATATACCAAATATTTTGTAATAAAAACTGTTTAAATAACAAAAACAAACGAAATTACGACTTAATCTAAATAAACTAATCAACAGAAAATCCCATTCTCCTATCACTAAGGACATATTTTAATTGGGAAGAACTTCGTTGAACATCTACACTTGTAATCGGGGCATATTTAAATTTCGGAATTAAACTGGCATTAATAGTGAGATCTTCAACAATATTTCCTTGAATAACATTTGCTATTTCAGTTAAACATTTATACCCTGTATTTTTATTTAAAACGTCAGTAAATTTATTAAAAATTATAGTTCCTGAAGCGCTACGCACTTTTGAGATCTCGGTCTTAAATTTCTCAACTATTTCCACTGCATCTACTAGCGCCAGATCCTTGTTTTCGAATTTTGTGATAGCTTCGTTCACAAAGCTGTAGTTTGTTTTGATAAACGCAAAGTTTTGTTTTATCTCTTCATTTTTCACAATGTCTTGACACTTTTCAACTGCTTGGGAAGCAGATTTGAGAGAAAATTGTAAGATAATTTCTTTAAAGGAATCCAAATTATCAGCATAAAAATAGGCAACATTCATCCACGTACGTGTATGTCAATAAGGATCATCATCCACATATGTTCGGTAATGAAAATCTGGTTACCAGGAAATCAATAAATATATACTCTGTTTTTTTTCTCAGGTAAGATTTCGACAGACGATGACAGAAGAAAAGCAGATGACGTCCCATACGAATCTATTTATTTTACTAAAAAAAGTTTCTAATAATTTTTAAGTTAACTATGGATGGGTTTAAATATAAATTCGTCATGCGTCGTCACTTGTTGTTATTAACCAGTTTTATTGGTTTATTTCAAAAATGACAGATCGTATTTCAATTTTATTGGTTTGACGGAACGATGAACGACAAACGGACGCCGATGCGTATGAACTCGCCTTTAGATTTTTGACGTTTGTCAAAGTCTTGCCAAATTATAGATTATAATTTTGTGACAACTTTTGTCAAATACCCTGCGTTTTGGAAGATGATGCATTTTGATTCGTGTTATTACGTGTGTTTTGTGTCTTTTGAAGTCAAGTGGAGGAAAAATCGAGTAAAAATTAACTGTAGAAACCAGAGCACAGTTTATGGTTAATAATCGCTGCCAAGGCAGAAAGTCTTATACAGATACACCAATAAAATTACTATCAATAAAGTTCGTATACCATCTCATCGTAGATAAGTGTATCTCGAATATGGTAGAAGGACCATACTAAACCCATACTAAAAACTGGGGTAGCTGTAAAATATCGACATCACACGATAGGTAAATAATGGATTTTAGTACTGCAGAAAAATAATGTCAAAAGGTACTGGTTAAAAAAAATTAAGATTAAAGTTAATTAATCAACCTGTGAGGTATAAAATTTGGTAAGTGTTATTATTAATAAAATAGTTTGTTTTATTTATGTTGTTTTATTTATTCCTGCGGAATATTACAAATTTGTATTTGTACATAAGTTATATTGATAAATATAATCATAAATGCGGGAAGTTTCATAAAGCTTGAAAGTAAGAAATAGTTCTTTTTTATATTTTTTGGTATGTGGTGTCTTGTTTTTGTTTGTTTTGTATTAACACATACTGTTTTCACATTTTTTCAGTTTTATACAGTTTTTTTCACAATATTTTGAAGTTACTTGTCAGTCAAATTTTAAATACATATATTAATTTCCTGCTCTGCGTTCCAGTTGTACCAACTTATTTCTTTGTAAAATAAAATAAACTACTTTGAAATTAAAATGACAGACACATCTATCACAGGATCTTCTCGTTGGACAGACTATATCAGATAATATCTACCGAAGTTGAAAATTAAGTGGAAAATAAGCACCAAATATCCCACCAATGAAGAAAATAGGCATAAAACTAGCATTAAAATAAATAAATGATTTAAAATCGAAAAATAAGCAAAATGGTACAAAAAAACTTAGCCACAGCCACAGCATCATATTTGTAATTTATGTGTATCTATATCATCAAAATATATCTGCCATCAAATATTACTTATAGCATAATTTCTAGAAAATCGCGCTCTAGTTATGAGCTGCGCTTTTATGTGGATGTATTATTTCTTGTTTACTCTATAAATTACAGGGTTACGCAGAGTGTATAAATCTGGAAAAATATTGTGTCAGAAATTACAGTGAGATTATTTTGCATTTAGGAGGCTTCCCAAAAAGCTACTCGTACTACATAAAACAATATAAATACAACATTAAAAAATAATTATCTATGTTATTATGCAAGGTGTTAAACTGGATTTGGATATACTGTTTATCATTTATTGTTCATAAGTTCAATGTTACTGCACTATCACCATTTCTTTCTTCACACTACAAAATTGTGTAAATAAAAATACATTTGAAAAATACTCTTTGTTAATTTAGTTATCTGGTAAATTAAGCTCTATCTTCAAATAATTACTAAAAGAATAATAAAATAACTGTTTTGGAATTAAGACACAAATAACCAGTTTCGAAAAACCTTAAGCAAATTTTGAAATAAACCTGTTTGTTTGGTAGTACGTCTGTTAAATTATCAAAATATTTTTCTGTAAAAATAATTTATTTGAGTAAATTTTGCAATTATAATCCATAAATGTATAAATATGTTTTAATAATGTAATGAAGTTAAAAAATTGGATATCGATCGCACTGACAGAATAGGGGAAAGTAGCCTAAGTCGTACCATTTTGCATAAAAGTTTAGAGAATTACGACATTTTTCAGACTGGCTCGTTTTTATTCATGCTGATATTTAGTTTCAACATTTCCGCACTTTATATGTTTTTTTTCAGATTTTTAATAAGATGCTTTCATTTAAAAAAATGCTTTTTTTAAAAGCCTTGCAAATGGTACGATTTGGGAAACCGGTTCCCTAAGTCGTACCACTAGGTTTCCTAAATCGTATTTAATGAAATAGCTTTACACCTAATGATATCTTTGAAGTAATTCGAAAAAACAAAATAGTATAGGTGTAGTAGGAAACAAATTTATTTCTTATACATATTTATATAAAAATATTTAAAAAACTCAAAACACAAAAAATAACCACACAAATAATTTAAAGATTATTCTGTACCAGAAAAAAATAATTAACAAGCTTTGAACAAAACATTTGGAACGGTCTAAAGGCAGTTGTCACAAACAAAAGATATGCCATTTTGAATATTACCACAAAGTTCATGTGCCCAAACATTACACACATCACACTTTATCATATTTTCAACTTTGCACTCTCCACAAAGGAAACACAACAATTCTTCTTCATTTATTTCTATTGAATCCTTATCAGTATAGAAATGACCTAGTCTTTTGTTTTGTTTTGTTTGCTTGCTTGCCTTTCCTGTTTCTCCTATTTTTCTTTTGACTTGTTGTTGTCACTTCTCGTCAATCGCAGATTTCTTGGCCTCCAACTCGTCTTTATAAGGCGTTGTAGTTAACACCTTAGCTTCCAGCTCGAGGATTTTGGTTGCCAGTAAGATTGGGAAGTGGTAAAATATCTTCAAATGACACGTCATGTGACGTCTCAGACGGGGTGTTTATCTTTGATTGCCGCGTTAGAACAGCCAGAGGAATGTTATCCTCATCTTCCCAATCCTCATTGTCATCTACTTTTCATTAGAAGTTTTAGAAGTTACTATCGGTCCAGATTTCGGATCATCTTGTCCGACGAAATCAGCATCTGTGTAAATATTTCAGTCTACAGGCCAAATGCCACATCTCCGGAATCCATTTGTAGCATTTCCTATACTTGCAGCTCTACCGTAAGCTTCCCCTAATAAGCGTGCCACTTAAAACTGCGTGACTGGTTGCCCAGAGTGTTCCCTCAACCATTTTTCAACAGCCTGGTCATAATAAACTTGCAACGGTTTAAATATCGCCACATCCAGAGCTTGCAACCGATGAGTGGTATGACCTGGTAACTGTAAAAGAATAATTCCGTTCTCTCGGGCTAGTTCTATAGCTGCTAAATTTCTTGAGTGGGTTGTGTGGCCATCTAGAATTAAGAGCACCTTGTCTTCGTTGGTTGGCTTGACTGCAGCGATAAAATGATTTAACCAAGTTACAAATAAGTCTGTATTTAATGTAACCAGTGTCTGATATCTGAACTATACAACCAGGAGGAGCCCCTTCTGCTAGACCCGGTACCATTCTTTTTCTTTTGAAGATTAGCATTGGTGCTACATATTGACCTGCCGCGCTTGTACAGCATACAAACGTTGTGTTGACTCCTCTCTCGCCGCTAGACAAAACACCAACTTGAGATTTTCCTTTCTTTGCTAATACTTTCTGGCATCTTTTTTGCACAGTTGAAAACCCTGATTCGTCAACGTTGAATATTTTAGGAGCCGTCAAAGCATTTTCATCTACTAGTTTTTCCAAAATGTCAAAAAATTTATCAACATTGGCCCTATTAAAGTCTTTGCATCGAGCGATCGAAGTTGACTCTGATTGCCTAAGTGAAATTTGAGGATGGCGTCGCATAAACGCGTAAAAGCACTTTTTACCAGCCATTTTGTTAGTGGTATTAAAGTTGTGTTTTAGCCCGTTGCGTTCCGCAAATTCGAAGGCAATCTTTCGTACCTCTGTGATAGTTATACCAAAGAAAATTGATTCCAATTTCAGAATATGTTGTTCTAATTCTGTCTCCATTTCTTCACTAAATGTACAAGATCGCCCAAGGATTTTTCTTTCTTTATTGGCATGAACATTTAAGGATTTCAGGTGTCTTCTGAAAGTTGGTTTTGGAATTCGATACTGGCGGCAAACCTCATTAAAACCAATGTTTCCGCCCCGATAGACTCTTATTGCTGCTTGTATGTATATTTCACTCCACTGACCGTATTTTCGTTTTTCATTTCCAGCATTCATTTTCTATTGAAAAAAAATAATAAATAAGAAATTATACCTTTAGTTCCCTTGAGTTTCCTAAATCGTACCGGTACGAATTAGGCAACCATATAGAGGTACGATATAGGCAACTTTACACAAAATAACAAATTAAATTATTTGGCGGTTTTTTTTATAAATAAGGTTATGTTTAATCGTGTAAAATTTTAGGCAATATTCCCTAGTTTCAGGAAAAAAACACGCATCTTCAGTTAAATTCTCCCAAACCATATAAAATCACTTACCTTAGTCACCAAAAAATTACATCACTTTATTAAAAATTCTTTAATTTCAAATATCTTCTCAAGCACATGAGCCACTTGCTTCAGATTTTCGGCTACAATGGTTGTCTAATTGTACTTACTAAATATGCCGGAAGGTGTCGTATTAATCCATTGGTAAATGAAATATTGACGAGGTACGATTAAAGAGCCGGTACGATTTACGCGACTTTCCCCTATGTTATATCGTTCCTTCTTATTAATGACCATTTAATGACAGCATCTGCACATGGCTTGCTATTTGCTATGTCAATGCCATCAGATTTAAATACATATCTGTTAGTAGACTTACTGTAGTTTTGGCTTATCAGGTCTTTCGTAAATGTTGGGACAGGCCCATTCCTGCGGTATCTGGCGCCTACGTGCAGCATTCTTTGGTGCGCCCTTTTTATATTTAAATCAATTATATATTTTAATCTTAATCTCAAAAATTTAAAGAATTTATATTTTGCGACAAACGAGCAATTTGTAATTGAAAATGTAAAAAAACTATTCTAATTAACGTATAAAAACATTTATTAAATAAATAAAACAAAGAAAACCAGAAAAATATTTAGTAACAAAAATAGTACCCCAAAGAAAAAAACTGACCCATTTTATATGAAATACATAAAAACAATAAACTAAAAATCGGAAATAATATACATGTACTGATTTCTTTCGAAAATCTATGAAACTATGATCCCTTCCCCGACACAAACATTACAGACAGGAATTGTGAGTACATTGTGAGACAGGAAATTGTAGAGAGAAACAAGCTGTATAATATAGGATACAACATTTTAATGAACAGTGCTTTCCAAAAAATCAATAAAATGAAAAATATACGAAATAATATACATGTACTGATTTCTTTCGAAAATAGACAACTATGAAACTATAATCCCTTCCCCGACACAAACGGTACATTGTGAGACAGGAAATTGTAGAGAGAAACAAGCCCTATAACATAGGATACAACATTTTAATGTACAGTGATTTCTATAAAATCAATAAAATGAAAAATATACGAAATAATATACATGTACTGATTTCTTTCGAAAATAGACAACTATGAAACTATGATCCCTTCCCCGACACAAACGGTACATTGTGAGACAGGAAATTGTAGAGAGAAACAAGCCCTATAATATAGGATACAACATTTTAATGAACAGTGCTTTCCATAAAATCAATAAAATGAAAAATATACGAAATAATATACATGTACTGATTTCTTTCGAAAATAGACAACTATGAAACTATGATCCCTTCCCCGACACAAACGGTACATTGTGAGACAGGAAATTGTAGAGAGAAAGAAGCCCTATAACATAGGATACAACATTTTAATGAATAGTGCTTTCCATAAAATCAATAAAATGAAGAATATACGAAATAATATACATGTACTGATTTCTTTCGAAAATCGACAACTATGAAACTATGAACCCTTCCCGGCCCGGACACAAACGGTACATTGTGAGACAGGAAATTATAGAGAGAAACAAGCCCTATAACATAGGATACAACATTTTAATGAACAGTGCTTTCCATAAAATGAAAAATAAATAGATGAGATCAATGCGTTGCCGACAGATTGCCCTTGACTTGTTTATTCGTCGCGGCCAACGCAAAAAAGACGCTAAGCAAACTTTATCCTATGATGTATGTTTAAGTATTTGTTTATTGGCAAGAAAGCGTATCGGTTTTGTGTTACAAAGTACTGATTGACCCTTCGATTTTGCGCCCCCAAAATATTGCGCCTACGTGCTTGCACGCACTGCACGCTCGCCAGGAACGTCCTTGTGTTGGGAAATAATATGTGTTCGAGATATACTATGAATTATTGTTAATCTAAGACTATGAAGGCTATGAAGTTTTGCTTGCCGCTGTTCTGGTAAATTTTCCTCGGCTTTGTAGGCATTTTTGTAATTCCTTTTGTAGCACAGCAGAATGGTTCTGAAAGTAGCAAAAGTAGTAGGAAAGTATATAATAATAACTATTTGAAGGTAAAAACATAAGTGTTTAAACATAACTTAACACAAAAAGTATCTGAAAAATATAATACAAAAACAGTAACAACTTGCAAACTAATATAAAGAATATGCTTTTTCATGTCGTAAAAAGTATAAGGTCGTAAATAAGTATTAAGAAAAACAGTATTTATAACCAAATTCTTCAGAAGAAAAGAACATTGACGAGGACTAAATCACTTTCTTCACTATAAAAATATTTAGCTCTAGCCTCTAGCTATCTTCACCATAGCTAAAGTTTATAAATAAGTTTCTGACATATTTTCTCCTAATATCATAATTAAAAATATGTGTGGCTTTATGATTTCACTATATTAAAAAACAATTACGAAACAACAATAAAGATAGGATGTACTCATTTAGAAGATATTTCTAATAATAATTAGTCTATTTCTTAAGAGATAAAAGTTAAAATATGAATTTTTCTTTTTGATTTACTTACCTACTGTGTTTAGAAAATAAAATAAAATGTCTGGTAATAAAATAAACGAATGCTTAATTTGTATTGTGTAGAGGCGAAACTTTCTTTATTCATCAGAAAATTAAAATAAGAAATTATACAAATATGTTTCAAAACCTCTTTTTCTGTTGTCTGATACTAAAGTTTCCGGAACCGGAGATGTTTTTCGGAACCGGGAATTTCGGTACTGCGCTTCTTAGGAACCGGGATTTCCCGTTTTTTTCGGAACTTTCGGTAATGACTAATTTTTGTTTTGACTAATTTGCATAATGGTGATGCAGTCCATCTATCCGAAAGCGAGGGAGGACTTTTCAAAGTAAAGTGGATAAAAAATTGAGATTTTTAATGAAAATAATATCAAATTATTAAGTAATCAATCATGAGAAAATTAACATGAATACAAGTAAAAAAAAAAATTGGCGCCGGGAAGCACGTATAGCCGCCCATACTAAAATATTTTAATAAAAAGTTGGTACGCAGTTCTTTTAGTTTCAAGGAAAAATAATTTTTTCAATTTTGGTCCGCGGTTATTTCCCCTATCCGCCACCTGGGGTCACGTCCGATGGGAGTTTGGAGTGCTCCACACGGATTTTCTCAAAAACGGACTACGAAAACACGGAATATCTCAAAAACTGCGACTTTGACTGATTTTGATGTTATTACAAATTTTGTTGCAAATATTATTCTTAATCTTAATTTGAAAAGCGCGTTTCGCTAGCTACTGTAATTTTGAAGTTACGACTTTTTAAAATGTTTAACCCCCTTCCATACCCCGTTACCAACCCCCCACCCCCACCAAAAACACCAGACGCCAGATTCTCGGGTGCCACCAGTATTTTTGTGCCAAATTTGGTTAAAATCGGTTTAGCGGTTTTTGAGTTATCGTGTTACAGAGAGACAGAGAGACAGACAGACAGACACCATGAAAATATTTTGTATTTAGGTCATTTATGATCCAAATAACTCATTTTGAGTGAAATTAAAAAAACTTTTTTTTTGCCGATCTTAATAGCCTACCGTACCTGTTGGTAGGTATGGTCGGCTAAAAATATAGGTAACTGAAATTTCACATCAAACAACATAAACCAACTTAGCTGAATTTGAGACAAAAGCCCTAAAATATTGAATAAAAATGCAAATATTTATTAAAACATAACATAATAAATATTATAAGAACTTCGGAAGAGAAAAGAAGCAAGAACAATAAGATATATCATCATTACTTATTTAGAAGAGTTTGATTTCGACCGCTAGAAAATTATAAATGGAACGTATCAATTCAAATTTCTCACGTAACAAAAAAAAGCCAAAAAGATCTGAACCCTAATTGGTAGTATTAATTAGACTTTCCGGAACCGTACTAAAATATTTTCCTTCAATGATTGTGGAGTTCGTCAATTAGCAAGGTTCTCAACAGTAAAACCAATAAAATATTGAGTTTCAAATGAAAAAATATAAAATTATTAAGTCATGAAAAAGTAAATAAAAACGAAAACAAGGTAGCTTAAAAATTACATCAAACATCAACCAACCTCGAAACCAATTTAACATTTTCAATTAAAGATGCAAATGCATATAAAAACACAACGCCAAAAAATATAACTATAATACAGTTAGCAATATTATACTAAATAATAAAATAACATATTTAAACTTTAATAATTGCTAATAAACATTATAGAAACTTCAAAATAACTTCAGAAGTATATAAGAACAGTAAGAGATAGCATCAAGCATCACTTTCAGAAGAGTTTGATTTCGACCGCTAGAAAGTATGAAAAGTCTTTCGCACGTAACAAAAAATATGTTTTTAATTATTATTACCGAGTCCCGAGTACCGAAGTACCGAAAAACCGGGAATTAATAATTTCGGTTAGTTAATAATTTCGAAGTCTCGGTACTTTCGGTACCGGGATTTCCCGGCTTTGAACCCTATCCGATACCCTTCTGCTACCACCTCTCGATTGCCATCCACTGTCGATCTCTAGATCTCTGGCACTCTAGTGATCTTAGTGGCTTTATTTATTTCTTCCATATAGGCTTTCTTTGGCGTTCCTCTCCTTCTATGACATGGGAGTACCCATTCTATCACTTTCTTAGGGAGTCGTGAATCATCCCTACATCGCTTGCTCTTAACTAGGGTTGCCAAGTGTCCTCCTTTCGGGAGGACAGTCCTTCTTTTAGAAGAAAAGTCCTCCTGCCTCCTTTTGCACCTAAATGTCCTCC